GGAGGAGGAGAAATCGGGAGGAGGGCATAAGCAGGAGATGGAAGAGGAAGAGGAGGAATAATAACCGGAGCAGGAGGAGGAAGAGGAAGAGGAACAGGATGAGGAAGAGGAACAGGTGGAGGAGCAGGAGCAGGGAAAGGAGGACGAAGAGAAACAGGATCAGGGGTTCAGAGCAGGATGATGAGGAGGAGGAGGAGGAGTTGGAAGAGGAGGAGGAGGAGGAGGAGGAGCAGGAGGAGGGACACACGCGGTGATCGCTTCGATCAACGTTGGTGTAACGTTCGAAAGAAGGAGGAGTACAGGAGCAGAAGAAGGCTGGAGATGAGGGCAAGGAGGGGGAGGAGGAGGAGGAGGAGGAGGATGATCGGGTGGAGTATGATGATGATGACAAAGCTGGTGATGATGATGATGATGATGATGATGATGATGATGATGATGATGATGATGCTGATGATGGCGAGGATGATGCTGATGATGGTGATGCTGATGATGGTGATGCTGATGATGGTGATGATAATGGTGATGTTGATGGTGCTGAAGAGGAGGAGGATGAGGATGAGGATGAGGAGGATGATGATGATCATTCGGATGATGATGATGATGATGATGATGATGATGATGATGATGATGATGATGATGATGATGATGATGATGATGATGGTGATGGTGATGCTGCTGCTGATGATGATGATGATGATGACGATGACGATGACGATGCTGATTATCATGCTGATCTGGCTGATGATGACGAGGAGGAGGAGGATATTGCTTCTGATGATGCCGCTGCTGATGAGCATGAGGATGAGGATGAGGATGAGTAGGATGATGATGATGATGATGATGATGATGATGGTGATGATGATGATGATGATGATGATTATGCGGATGATGATGTTGATGATCATCATCATTATGCTGATGGTGTTGTTGATGATGATGATGATGCTGATCATGATGATGCAGATCATTTTTTCCTCGACGTCAGGACCAACATCTGATGGAAAGATGCTGCTGATGATGATGATGATGATGATGCTTCTGTTGTTGCTGATGCTGCTGATTATGATGAAGATGCTTCTGATTACGATGATGCTGATGCTGATGATGATGGTGATGATGATAATAATGATAATTGGTAGGAGGGAGGAGGAGGAGGAGGAGGAGGAGGAGGAGGAGGAGGAGGAGGAGGAGAAGAAGGAGGAGGAGGAGGAGCACGACCTTGAACAGGAGGAGGAGGAGGAGGAGGAGGAGGAGGGCAAGGAGTCGCAGGACTGTCGACCTCGCAGCTCATTAAGCTGGCGCTGGCCGTGACGAGGGCTCCGGGGCGTTCTGGCCGGCCGCTACTGGAGGCCTTGCTTCGCGTCTCGTCGTCGTCGTCGTCGTCGTCGCAGTTGTCGTCGTCGTTGTCGTCCTTCCCGCCTACCTCCTAGTTGTCGTCGTCGTTGTTGTCGTCGTCCTCGCCATTAATCCTCTGTCTACCTCCATATTGCTGGAGTCGTCGTGGTCATCGTCGTCGCCGCGGTGGCTGTCGTTACCGTCTGAGTCATGTTCGTATTCGTCCTCGTCGTCGTCGTTCTCGTCCTCGTCGTCGTCGTCGTCGTTCTCGTCCTCGTCGTTCTCTTAGTCGTCGTCGTCGTCGTGACCGTCGTAGTCGTCGTTCGCCGTCATGTTTGTGGTTGTGATGGTTCGTCGTCGTCGTCGTCTTCGTCGTCGGCGCCGTGGACGTGATCGACGTGGTCGTCGTGGTCGTCATCATGGTTGTCGTCGGGCGGCCCTTTCAGGTCGTCTTTCCTTTCGAGTCGTCTTCTGGCCCGAAGTCCTATACTGGATACGTAACACAGAATAAGTATCTGGATGATTGGAGGGGCTTGAGCCGGGTCCCCGGGGCCTGCGCCCAAGCGACGCTCAAGCGACCCCAAGACGGGCCACCAATGCCATCTTGGAGTGTGTTTGAGGCTCGTGCTCCCGACCAGGGGAGGGCTTCTCCGGGATCCGAGAGACGTTGCACGGCGAGCCTCGGTGGCGTCCCCGGAGCGCACGGGTGTGCTCGGGAGTGCCCAGGACTCGGTGGGCAGGGCCGACAGTCTTCTTTTCGCATCTGACGTCCAGGGCCACGAGGGGCCTGAGGACATCCCCTTACCTGCCAGAGGAGCGGTGGTGGACATGTGAATGCCGATGCGTTGCCTGATTTCGGATTAGTTTCGCTGTGGATAAGCGGCATTTTCCCCGCACGTTCTGGCACCTCGAGGTGCTTCTTCAAGCAAGCGAGGCCATTACACACATGACAGTGGAGAGACATATTAAGCAATACATCTTAGGTAGTGAGGGTGAACGTCACAATCCGGGGCTGCAAAGAGGGGGGTGATGACTAGGGGGGGTGGATATCATAGCGTGGGCCATGATATCTCCCCAGATGTCATGCCGCCTCCTCTTAATTCATCACGTCCCCGCCCCCCACCCCTTGGGCCGCGCACATGCCGCTGGCCATGATTTGCGCCCCCCGCTCTTGGACGCCCTCCTCTTGGCCGCCCCCGACACAAGTAAATGCCAGCCGGAAGCTGCAAGAGGGGACGGAGGAGGGGAAGGATGTGCGGGGAGAGAGGGCCAGAGCTTGCTCATGAATCGCTTGACTGTGCGATGCGCGCCACTGCTTGCGCGCGAGATCGATACATCCGATGACAGGCCGTCTGCCGAAAGTGCACATGTCGGAGGTGGACAGACCTCCTACCCTGACACGTCGATTAAGGAATTGGCCGTTTTCGGTTCGCGAGAGGGCGTCGCGGCCGTCATTTGTGCGGGTCCAGGTCCGTCATGTTCGGTCCCAGGCCGTTTTCACTGAAGGAAGATTTACTAAAGGGAGGTTTGTCCACCGCCGATTACTGTGCGATGCGCGCCACTGCTTGCGCGTGAGATCGATACATTCGATGACAGGCCGTCTGCCGAAAGTGCATCTGCTCACGCTCCCAGCTCCCAATCCATGCCTTGAATGCCCTCCCATCTCTGCAATCGAAGACGGCGCTATCTTCTGCCCTCTCCTTGGGAGGCGGGCCGGCACCCCATCTCCCTGAACCGCCTTCCCACTTCAGTCTGTCCTGCGTCTTCCGAACGGCCTGTACGCAGCCACGGTCGGCACGCTCCCTCCTCGACTCTGGCAGGGCTTCGCTCGACCGCATCGACGGGGCGTGCCTTCCAGCGAAGGCGTCTCCGCGGCCACGCAGCTGTCTGCGTGTTGCACCGGTCGGCTCCGTCACGCACCCCCCAACGGCGATTCTCGTCATCCGTCGACGGCGCTCGATCCGATCAGCTTGATCCGACCGAGCCAGCCAGTCTGACTGAACGAGCAATTCGGTCAAGAGCGGATCGGCAGCCGCGCCAATGCCTGCGCGCGGCATCGGCCGATTTGATCACGTCCCCGCTGCGGCGACTTCCCCCTTCCGAGGCTGGAGGCGCACACATATCCTATGCCTGGGGAATTGATGTCCCAGATCCCCCGGAGGCGGGGGATGTCGATATCTTGCCCCGCCCCCTCCCTCCTACGGGGCCCACGAAGATCTGTGTCTACCGCCTCCCGGGGCCCTGGCAGATCGTCAAGGGCAACGTCAGGGGGTACGGATGGACTCAGGGGGGAACGCCTCATCTCACAATCACCCACTCGCTGTCGACAGGGGCCTGATAGCCCAATCCGCCCAGAAAAAAGTTGTGGATTCGCCATTGAGGGCCTACCCCTGATTTATCGGCGAGGAGGAGGAGGAGGAGGGCGGAGGGCGGAGGGCGGAGGAGGAGGAGGAGGAGGAGGAAGAGGAGGAGGAGGAGGAGGAGAGGAGGAGGAGGAGGAGGAGGAGGAGGAGGAGGAGGAGGAGGAGGAGGGAGGAGGGAGGAGGAGGAGGAGGGGGGGGGAAGGGGATGGAGGAAGGGGGAGGATTGAAGAGTAGGTGGGAGGAGGAGGAGGAGGAGGAGGAGGAGGAGGAGGAGGAGAGGAGGCGGAGGAGGAGGAGGAGGAGGAGGGGGAGGAGGGGGAGGACGAGGAGGAGGAGGAGGAGGAGGAGGAGGAGGGGAGGAGGAGGGAGGAGGAGGAGGACGGGGGGAAGGGGGGGAGGAAGAGGAGGAGGAAGGAGGAGGAGGAGGAGGAGGAGGAGGAGGAGGAGGAGGAGGAGCGGAGGAGCAGGAGGAGGAGGAGGAGGGAGGAGGAGGGAGGAGGAGGAGGAGGGGGGGAGGATGGAGGAAGAGGGGGAGGATTGAGGAGGAGGAGGGAGGAGGAGGAGGAGGAGGAGGAGGAGGAGAAGGAGGAGGAGGATGGTTGGGTTGGGCACTCGGCGGAGACCTGGTCAAGCCAGGGCGCTTCCAACATCGCACACACCTTCACTTTAGCCTTCCATGCACCTGTAACCGATCTACGACTACTACTATAAGTGAGTAACTGGACAAACAACAGAGCACCACTGGAATTACCCAAATACACAGAGGACCACTTGAGCCTGTAACCTGTACAATGGCTCACCTGTAACCAGGTGGGCTCAAGAAATGGCTCACCTGTAACCGATCACCGATCAGGAAAGGTCATCCCACTCTTTGGCGGTAGGCCTCGTCGGAGGCGCGACAACACGCCGGCGCCTGCTTTTGTGGGTTTGAGACTTGGTGGACAGCCCTCCGCGAGGAGCTGGGAGTTCTGAGTCATCAATCTCCCACAAACTCGACAGTACAGGACACCACGATACACAGCGAGGTCGTGAGACGAATGAGCCCGAGGGAAACCAGGGTGCGCGATTACAGCTTCACGCCCTTCCAAGGGTCTTATCTGTCGCGCCCCCAAGCACCGCCCAGGGAAGAAATCGGAGACCTTGCCTCGAGTCGCCTCGAAATGGCGACGACACAGACAACACTTAAATCTGGAGCCAACCATCTTGACAGAATGCCCAGCTGCCTCGAGACGTTGCTTACGAGTGGCGTAGGAGGGCAAAGCCTTGGGGCGAAGAGGGGGACGCCCGACCCTGTCTGCCACGAGGCGCTTGCATGTCAAGGCGGCCTCACGATTGACATCAAGAAGACGCCGCAAGACCTTACCAGTCATAGCGTCGACCTCCTGAAGCACATCCACATGCTCCTGGGGAACTTCTCCTAAGGCGGCGGCCTTCCCAGCGAAAAAGTCAGAAATATAGTTAAGAAAAATTCGGCGCCGAAATGCAAAAACCTCACGAACAGCCTCCGTAGAATGAGCCTTCGTCCACAAGAGCTCCAAGCGACCTTCACGAGCGTCCATGAGGTCCCAGATCTGGATCCACAGGTCCATCATGGGCGAGTTCTGGGCCACGTGGGACCTATCCTTCCTGAGGCTCCTAACCACGGGCAAATAGTCTGAGTAAGCCACTACATCACCATCAGTGTGGGTAAGGAGCATAATCAGGGCATAGAGTTCCGATCGGGGGCTAGACTGAGACTCAGTAGAAAGGGTACCCAAGAGAATGGTGTCACACCGAAACTCAGGAGCATGAACACTAGCCTCATCCAACCTAACCACCGCCCAGCCACACCGTCGAAGCCTCCAATCCAGAGCCCACTTACCCCCAGAGCCGTCCAGTCCGAATCTGCCTCCACGGACCCTCTGGCCCCCATCGAAGAGGCCCCACGACTGACGAACAGCACGGGGTGGCGGCAGAGGTGCGACAGCTGCAGCAAGAGGAGGAAGCCCACGATTCCAGAAAGCACTGCGAACGTGCTCAGGGCGATCCGCCATCGCAACAAGATCCTGGGATCGATGGATATGGTCTGAATCGATCTGAGCATAGGCCGAGCACGACCAACATCGATGGAGGCTTGTTTCGCGAGCAACCCCGCACCGCGGGCACATGCCGTCTGTGAGGTACCCGGCGTCCTGAAGTCGAGCCTCGGGCCAAGTACCCCCTGAGACAATGCACACCAGCAAGGCAGCGTCAGAATACTTGCCATCTTTCAGGAAAGCGGAATGCATCCTCCGGAACACGGTAAAATCAGCTCCTCCATCCAAGCCTTCCGCACAACAGTGCTGAGCTGCCTTGCTAGAGTGCATTCGAGAAACTGTCTGCCGCACGGCAGCTGTGAGGTGGAACAGGAAGTCCCTATCTTCCAAATTGAGAATGCCCACCGGCGAACCCCAAGCCGTAGGCGAAGTGGGAAGCCATTCGAGGTCCAGGAGGGTGCAGATGGTCGCCGCAAGCGGACCAGAAACAGTACGCCATCTACGAGAGTGTGGAAGCGCCTTAAGCCGGTCTCGGTGCCGAACCCAAGCGCGTCGCACTCCTAGGCGTTGACCTGGCGTCAAAAACTTCCACACACTTGCAAGAGCCCAGAGTTGTTCGCGCCGCAAACGATAAGCGGGATCATCACCGTAAGAAGTAATCATTCCCAAGACCGTGGTTGTACACGCACCTGATGTCCAATGTCCTGAACACTTAGCGGCCTGCGATCGGAAGCTCTGGAGATCCGCGAGCGTGAGACCGAGGACCGAGTGCCCCCACGATCCAACACCCAACACACCCGGCTTAAAGATCTTGCGCGCGACCGCACAGGCGGGCAAGATAGGCTAGCCGGCGAGAGCGCGTAAAAGCCGTCCGCTGGCGGAGTTTGACCTTCCAAGTGCACCTCCTCTTCCCGGCCGTCGTCATAACACCAAGATCTTTCACCATGCCTTTGAAAGTAATAGACACTCCTGCCTCATGAAAACGATCAGTCAAATCCTTAGCCAAAGGCGCGCAAGAAGCAACAGCAGCAGACTTGGAATATATGATGCACCCCAGGGACTTGACGTCCTCGCAGAAGCTGACCGCTGCACCAGGAAGCGATGAAACAATTTGGTTGCGGGTACCGTGCAAGTACTGGGTAATGTCGTCAATGTATGAGCGAATAGGGACCATGGTATGCGTGTGTGCGCTCGCTCAAGCACGCCATGCAAGTACGCCTTGACCCATGGAACCGATTGAGAGCAACCCGCCAAAATCGATCGGCCCGTTGGGATGATGTTCGAGACAGCCCCTTCCACCTCGAGGATCCTAGGACATGTATGCACTACAATGCCGAAATACAACAGATGCGCTGGATAGTCTACCTTAAGAGCCAGCTGGACCAACAACGCTGGAACCACCGAGTCAAAGAATTTCTCCATGTCCCAGTGAAGGGAGGCAGACTCGAAACTGAGCGTACCCGCGACCTCGTGACACAGCTCACGAAGAAGCGCCGCCTGCAGCGCCGAGGAATTCCGTACAGCACCATCCCAGAAATCCGTGTGCGCACCAGTCCATTCCTGAGGGAGGAGGAGGAGGAGGAGGAGGAGGAGGAGGAGGAGGAGGAGGAGGAGCCGAGCCGCCGCCGCCGCCGCCGCCGCCGCCCGCCGCCGCCGCCGCCGCCGCCGCCGCCGCCGCCGCCGCCGCCGCCGCCGCCGCGCGCGCGCGCGCGCTGCACTGCCCACGTGGGCCCCAGTCGGTCGCGGGCGAGTCCTGCCGGAGGCTGGCGGAGGTGCCCATCCCGCAGGCGGTCTGAGGGCGTCCGCCCCCGTCCGCCTTTCGCAACCTCCCCTCCCCTCCTCCCCTTCCTCCCCTCCTCCCTCCTCCTCCCGCCTCCTCCTCCCCCTCTCCCCCCCCCTCCTCCTCCCCCCTCCTCCTCTCCCCCCCCCCTCCTCCCCCTCCTCCTCCTCCGCCTCCTCCGCCTCCTCCTTCCCGTCCACCCCCCCCGTGACCGTCAACCTCCCCCTTTCTCCCATGCGCCTCTTGTCCGGCTCGGGTGCCTCCCCCGCGCTACGCTGGCCCCTGCCTCCCCGCTCCCCCCCCAACCGGTCGGGCGCCGTCGCGCGGCTTCGGGGCGCCGGGGCCCTCGCGGCTCGATCCCCGGGCGCGAGCGGTGCCGCGGAGGTCTCGGGGTCTGCAGGGCGCTGGTCGGGACCGTGCTGCCAGGAAGCTCCGCAGGCCTGGAGGTTGACACCGATTTCTGCGGTGTGCCTGCACCGAGGGAAGAAGATCCCGATCTCGGCGATGGTGGTCATATTTCTAACGCTCAGGGTGGCCGAAACATGACCACCGGCACCGAAGTCTAGGATCAGCTTCCCCCTGAGGAGGCACCCCCCTGGTGTTGGTGTTGGTGCCCATTTCCAGGCCTCCAATAGCTGTGTTTTTTTGGGCGCCGTCGGATCACAGGGGGAGGGAAGGGGGCCGCCCAGACATCCCTGCGGAGCTTTCTTTTGTTCGATCCCGGCGCCTGTTCCAGATCTCGGGCTTCTGGGGTTTTACCTAACAGCGAAGACCGATAGGTTTCTATAGTAGGGTCAAACGAGAGCATCATGACGCCCCAGGGGGGTCTGGGCGCGATCCGGGGGAGGGTGCCGGGGATTCTTTTTAGCCAACAGTTACACACTTCGTGGTCTTCGAGGTCCCAGAACTCCATTTCCGGGCCACATTTTGAATTCCCGGAGCCAACCGTAGGCCACTTCGTGCTCTTCGAGTTCCCAGAACTCCATTCCCGGGGCACATTTTGAATGCCCGGAGCCAAGTGTAGGCCACTTCGCGCTCTTCGAGTTCCCAGAACTCTATTCCCGGGCCACATTCTGAATGCCCGGAGCCAACTGTAGGACACTTCGTGCTCTTCGAGTTCCCAGAACTCCATTCCCGGGCCACATTTTGAATGCCCGGAGCCAACTGTAGGCCACTTCGTGCTCTTCGAGTTCCCAGAACTTCATTCCGGGGCCGCATTTTGAATGCCCGGAGCCAACTGTAGGCCACTTCGTGGTCTTCGAGTTCCCAGAATTTCATTCCTGGGCATGATTTTGAATGCCCCGAGCCAACTGTAGGCCACTTCGTGTTTTTCGAGTTTCCAGAACTCCATTCCCAGGCCACATTTTGAATGCTGAGGCAGGCTGATGCTGAGGCTGAGGCAGGCTGAGGCTGAGGCAGGCTGAGGCTGAGGCTGAGGCGAGGCTGAGGCTGAGGCCGAGGCTGAAGGCAGGCTGAGGCTGAGGCTGAGGCTGATGCTGAGGCTGAGGCTGAGGCAGGCTGAGGCTGAGGCTGAGGCTGAGGCAGGCTGAGGCTGAGGTGAGGCTGAGGCTGAGGCTGAGGCTGAGGCTGAGGCTGAGGCTGATGCAGGCTGAGGCTGAGGCTGAGGCTGAGGCAGGCTGAGGCTGAGGCTGAGGCTGAGGCTGAGGCTGAGGCTGACTGAGGCAGGCTGAGGCTGAGGCTGAGGCTGAGGCAGGCTGAGGCTGAGGCTGAGGGCTGAGGCTGAGGCTGAGGCAGGCTGAGGCTGAGGCAGGCTGAGGCTGAGGCTGAGGCTGAGGCTGAGGCTGAGGCTGAGGCTGAGGCTGAGGCTGAGGCTGAGGCTGAGGCGAGGCTGAAGGCAGACTGAGGCTGAGGCTGAGCTGAAGCTGAGGCTGAGGCTGAGGCTGAGGCTGAGGCTGAGGCTGAGGCTGAGGCTGAGGCTGAGGCTGAGGCTGAGCTGAGGCAGGCTGAGGCTGAGGCTGAGGCTGATGCAGGCTGAGGCTGAGGCAGGCTGAGGCTGAGGCCGAGGCTGAAGGCAGACTGAGGCTGAGGCTGAAGCAGGCTGAGGCTGAGGCTGAGGCTGAGGCTGAGGCTGAGGCTGAGGCTGAGGCTGATGCTGAGGCAGGCTGAGGCTGAGGCTGAGGCTGATGCAGGCTGAGGCTGAGGCAGGCTGAGGCTGAGGCCGAGGCTGAAGGCAGACTGAGGCTGAGGCTGAAGCAGGCTGAGGCTGAGGCTGAGGCTGAGGCTGAGGCAGGCTGATGCTGAGGCAGGCTGAGGCTGAGGCTGAGGCTGATGCAGGCTGAGGCTGAGGCAGGCTGAGGCTGAGGCCGAGGCTGAAGGCAGACTGAGGCTGAGGCTGAAGCAGGCTGAGGCTGAGGCAGAGGCAGGCTGAGGCTGAGGCTGAGGCTGATGCTGAGGCAGGCTGAGGCTGAGGCTGAGGCTGATGCAGGCTGAGGCTGAGGCAGGCTGAGGCTGAGGCCGAGGCTGAAGGCAGACTGAGGCTGAGGCTGAAGCAGGCTGAGGCTGAGGCAGGCTGAGGCTGAGGCAGGCTGAGGCTGAGGCTGAGGCAGGCTGAGGCTGAGGCTGAGGCAGAGGCCGAGGCTGAAGGCAGACTGAGTTGAGGCTGAAGCAGGCTGAGGCTGAGGCTGAGGCAGGCTGAGGCTGAGGCAGGCTGAGGCTGAGGCTGAGGCAGGCTGAGGCTGAGGCTGTGACTGCGACTGCCGTTGCCACTGCGACTGCCATCGCGAATGCGACTACGACTGCGAGAACAGCAGCATTCTACAACAGGATTCTCATCTGAATCTTAAGGGGAATGCTTCCAGGTATGCTCCTACACATCGCTGTTATGTTGCTTTGGCGGGATAATTTTCTCGGCCTCTGGGGCACTGGCAGTGGATCCTGGGCCAGATGAAAGGCAGGGTCTCCCGAGACCGCGTCGTACAGAACAGGGTAGCCCAGTACACCCTGCTGAGCCGGGACAGCAGCATACTCGCGGGGACGGTGCGCGAGAGCACCAAGACGGTGTCGAGTTGGCCAGGGGCTTTCCCCGCCCCCCCCCCCCGAGGTGCCCTCGAGGGGCTCTCGTTAGACGCCGAAGAGCGCCCTCTGAGGCATCCGAGCGGGGGTATGCTCCTCAGCGCGTCGAACATGCAACCCCTATCCTTGTGATGTTCCAACCTACTTTAGCGTTGATCACCAGAATGAGTTTCGAGCACCAGGAAAGCACCCCCAAAACTCGAGGATTTTCACGTGTCGGGCCCTGGGAGACATTCTTTCGACACTGACACTGTTTCGACACTCTTTCAACACTCTTTCGACAGTTTTCTGGGTGCTCGAAATTATTTCTGGGATGTGGTCCTTACGTACGATGGGCGCAACATAGCCCTCTCCATGGTTCCCGAGAGTAACTTGGAAGTTCCTTGTCCTTGTGCTGTCTCGGCATCCGGGGAACATATGAGGGCCACTTGGGGACACCTGGGGCAATCTCAGAGGCCCCCTTAAGTTCCTGTGGGGGCTCCTCAGGGATGTTGCACTCTCGTTGTTGTTCTAGGGCCCTTCTCCTTGGACTATCATGGGCCCTGCTGGGGGCATCTTGGGGCCACGACAGGGGCGCTGAGACCCATCAGATGCAGAGACATAGTACATATATACATACAAGTCATCAAACAGGGGGGCTAGCCGAACGGGCTTTCACTTTGAGAGTATAATCGTGGTATGTGCCACCCATCCTGTTGATCTCTCACGCACGATGTATGTGTATTGATTGATTTATGCGGGTTGCAGATGGATATTCGAATGGATGCCCAGTCTAACCGATTCCTTCGGATATTCTATCCCGTTCCGAGGGGGTGCCAATAGATACCGATTCGTATACCAACGGATCTTTCCGGGCATCCCAATGAAAGCAGAGTGCGCTATATCATATTGGTGTCGAGTTTCTTGTGCTCGCCACCGTGGTACACACATCCTCCCGCCCGCCCAATCAGAAATCTTCGTTTATTCAGAACCCTTCGCGTCAGACAATCCTGATTCACCAGTCAGGCCGCACGGCCGCGCAAGCATTTGAACGCCAAGTTTGGCGCGACACCACACAAGACCCATACACTTGACGAGTTGGTCAAATATCTGTATACTGTTAGCCTTTAAGGCTGCAAGTGTTGGCGAATGCGCGTGAGCCAAGCAATGAAGGGGTGGATTGCTTGCTGACGCAGTGCGTGTAACCTCGTTACGTCCCTTGTAAAAGGCACATTGGCCTGCTATGAATTGCGCCCGGACATGGTGTCAGTGTTGTGTCATGCTGTTGCATGTATCTCGGAGCCATTCCCAGCGCGCACAGTCATATACATAGGAACGTGCCCGGGCCAGATGCGGTCGGTTTCGCTCCGAATGGATGATTGCATGTGCAGGATGGAGGTTGGGCCATGACAGCGCGTGCAAACATAATGGAGACTGCCAGAGGCCAGGTGGGGGCTGAAAGAGTCGAATGGGGCATGGCGAGAACGCAGTTGCCATCAAAGACTGTTCCGATGGATGATGACATTGACAGTGCGGGCCGCGATCATTCACGCTCACCCACCACGTCATAAGCAGCTGCTCTTTCATACCCCCCTTATGTCGTCTGGGTCCCACCCTCGTGGCGGGGGCCGCGATTGCAGTGAGCAAGAGCATTTATTATCTTGCACAGGGTGTCTAGAGCTCCGACTACTTTATTCCGCGTCGCACCCCCCCCGCGTCCCCAGCGCCAGAGTGGGACCCTTGCGCCGTGGCTCTCTGCCCCGAGCCACCCCGCGTCCCCAGCGCCCCAGCGGGAGCCCCGCCCACTGCCCCCTCCGCCACGAACGCTTTATTCCGCGCCGCACCCCCCCCTGCCCCGCGTCCCCAGCGCCAGAGGGGGACCCCCGCGCCGTGGCTCTTTGCCACGAGCCCCCCCGCGTCCCGAGCGCCCCAGCGGGAGCCCCGCCCACTGCCCCCTCCGCCACGAACGCTTTATTCCGCGCCGCACCCCCCCCT